GTCTACGCATCCTCTGCATCTCCAATCAGGTCACAACGATGATGATGTGATGATGATGAGAATGTCATCATCACCATGATGGTGGTCATCATCGTCATCATCATCATCATTGTCATCATCATCAGCGTCATCCAGCCAGCAGCGGCGGTAGTGGCAGCAAAGAGCGTAATGGCTAGTCCAGAACAGACTGTCCCTCCTCACGGGCATGATGTCTGGCTCTAACAGGACACTTGAAACGCACACGAAAAAGACACGGATGACGACAATAATGATCATGATGACGAAAAAGACACGTCTTTGAGGTGCAAAGGATGCTACGATGACAGTATTGCTTACGCTGATAATGTTGAATCTTCGGCTATGCTCATTTACCAACCTTGGACTTGTGCTACAACCACCCTTCCCGTGCGCCTCCCCCTTTGAAGAGAAGGGGTCGGCGGATAATAAGATATTAGATGATGCCAGGTGAGGATCAGATGATGATAAAGATGACGACAAGGATGATGACTATCATCGTAGCATCCTTAGCATCACGAACGGCTGTGATGATAACTATCATCGCAGCATCCTCTGCATCACAAATGCTGCCTGATAAGAGATGACGACGACCATGATGATAATGGCACGTGCGTGATGATCGTTATCATCCGCGTCATGACAACTATCATCACAACATCCTCTGCATCTCCACTTCTGCATCTCTACTTGTTCCTTGACAACTATCATCATCGCATCCTTTGCATTGCCAAGGATGTCTAACGTCCCTTTTGATTTCTCTATATCACAAGATATTAGATGATGCTAGGTGATGATCAGATGATGATAAAGATGATGACAAGGATGATAACTATCATCGTAGCATCCTTGGCATCACTAACGGCTGTGATGATCACTATCATCGCAGCATCCTCTGCATCATCAATGCTGCCTGATAAGAGATGACAACGACCATGATGATAATGGCACGGGCGTGCTGACCATGAGGATAATGGCTCGCGCTGGCGTGATGATCGTTATCATCCGCGTCATGACAACCATCATTACGACATTCTCTGCATCTCTACGTGTTCCTTGATAACTATCGTCATCGCATCCTTTGACGAGGATGATAACTATGATCGTAGCTTCCTTGGCATCACTAACAGCTGTGATGATAACTATCATCCTGACATCTTCTGCATCAGCAACGCTGCCGAATAAGAGATGATGATGACCATGATGATAATGAGCATAAGGATAAGAGAATAAGAAAGAGATGATGATAAGGATGATGATGATGACGATGACTGTGATGATAACAATCATCGTAGCTGATGATGCTGATGAGGATGAAACTTTGGTTATACTTATGGGCCAACCGCCCTTCCCGTGCGCCTCCCCTTTTTAGAGAAAGGGTCGGCGGATTTGAAGGGGGGGAAATGGAGTGCACAGCATGCAGAACTCAGCCCTGATGCCGCCAAGCGCCTGCTGCACATGCTGCGCGTTAGCTACCTTCCACGCAGACTGCAAGCCGAAGGTCTTCGCACCTAAAACTAAATGGCGCAAAAGCCAGACTGTCACACATGCAGAAGGCGGCCCCTCTGGATTTCCGCATTGCGGCCCCTGCAAAAAAAAGAAGTCACGGACAAGGGATGGCCGAGGCATGGATTGCTTACGGCCGCTGGCGGTAAGTGATCCGAACACCCCTCCCCCCGGCCCCCTGCCCACCCCTGCTCGGAAGATCCCTGCCGGGGCGGGGCTGTCCGGGGCCGTCCGGGGCCTGCTTGCGCGAGCCGTCGCCTATTCAGAGGTCCGGTGCGCCGCTTTGTTTTGTCCAGAGGTGTGCCACCTCACGCCGACTGTTTAAGCCGCCTGCAGTTCAGAGGTCTGTCGCCTCATCGTCAGAGCTCCATGCTGACCCTCCGGACAACTCGCCCCGCCGCAGAACAAGAGCCTTACCACAAGAAGATACTGTGAAGCACAGAACTACACAACAAAGCCCCCCGAAAAATGGAACTCCCCCCCCCCTTCGACACCACCCTAGTTCAGGGTTGGGGAGTTCCGCACACAGTAGAACGCACTGTTTTCATTGTTTAAGACTGAACACGCATCATTTGCCATCAACTTTTTGCTGGCATGGTGGACTCGGCGTGCAATACACCTCATACCCGGAAGCAGATCGCGTGTGTTTCACTTTGAGGCGCAGATCCAGCTTATCCAAGAGACAAAGAGTTGCGGCTCTCCTTGCCATAGTCAGTCAGCTAAAAGGCTGCAACACAAAAGGGAAACACCAACCCTCAGGGACTCGAACTCGCAAAGGACAGTTTACGTCCTGCACAGGCAGAGCCTTCATCCGCTGCTGCGAGCGCCCCAAGCGCTCCGAGCGCCCCAAGCGCTCCGAGCGCCCCAAGCGCCCCGAGCGTGCCAGCTGCGCCTCGCAAGTCAGCCGCTCGCAGGGGTGCAAGCGCACAAGTCGCTGAAAGCGCGGCCTTTGAGCCAGCTCCCCAATTGACAGCCACTCCCAGCACCTCCAGCGCCTCGAGAGCACGGGCTGCTTCAAGTGCGCCAGTGGCTGCAAGTGCGCCAGCGGCTGCAAGTGCGCCAGTGGCTGCAAGTGCGCCAGTGGCTGCCAACGGAGTTGCTGGAGGCGCAGGTGCCTCCTCGCCGAGTATGGAAGGCTGGGCATGCCCATCAGCCAGATTATTGTTTTTGTGTCCATGCGGGCAGAGATGGCAAGGGTCCTAGAGCGATGATGGGCGGTTGTGCCTTCAGGCAGCTTTTCAGCGCTGCACCAAGCATTGAGCAATGAAGAGAGACGATGGGACATTCTGGTGGGAGGCTTAGCCTACTGAAAACAACTGGAAGTTGACAGCGCAGGCATGATGCCTTTGTCAGCACTGTGAGGCCTACACGATGCGCGCTCGCACTCGTCAGCGCCAGGAAAGCATTTGCTTGGTGTGGGGAAGTAACCTGCGTTTGTTGGTTTGTTGGGTGTGCACGCCTTGTAGTGTTGCAGCGAAGGAAGAGACACCAAAGGTTGTCATGTCAGAAAGTTTCCCGTTGGACTTGCCACCATGTGCCAAGTCAGGAACCATGAAGTGAGATTTGACACTTTGGTTCACTTCTCAAGGAGTGGATTGCCAAGATGACATGCGATCCTGATGTTGCTAGGAGAACACAGAACAGATCATAACAGGTCTATCAATAATAGCATTGATATTCGGCATGTGTTGCAATGAAAAGGGTTTCAGAATGCTGAGTCACCAAGATTTGAGAGGTGTGTTGCAACACAAAAGGGAAACACCAACCCTCAGCGACTCGAACTCGCAAAGGACAGTTTACGTCCTGCACAGGCAGAGCCTTCATCCGCTGCTGCGAGCGCTCCGAGCGCCCCAAGCGCTCCGAGCGCCCCAAGCGCCCCGAGCGTGCCAGCTGCGCCTCGCAAGCCAGCCGCTCGCAGGGGTGCAAGCGCACAAGTCGCTGAAAGCGCGGCCTTTGAGCCAGCTCCCCAATTGACAGCCACTCCCAGCACCTCCAGCGCCTCGAGAGCACGGGCTGCTTCAAGTGCGCCAGTGGCTGCCAACGGAGTTGCTGCAGGCGCAGGTGCCTCCTCGCCGAGTATGGAAGGCTGGGCAGCCCATCAGCCAGATTATTGTTTTTGTGTCCATGCGGGCAGAGATGGCAAGGGTCCTAGAGCGATGATGGGCGGTTGTGCCTTCAGGCAGCTTTTCAGCGCTGCACCAAGCATTGAGCAATGAAGAGAGACGATGGGACATTCTGGTGGGAGGCTTAGCCTACTGAAAACAACTGGAAGTTGACAGCGCAGGCATGATGCCTTTGTCAGCACTGTGAGGCCTACACGATGCGCGCTCGCACTCGTCAGCGCCAGGAAAGCATTTGCTTGGTGTGGGGAAGTAACCTGCGTTTGTTGGTTTGTTGGGTGTGCACGCCTTGTAGTGTTGCAGCGAAGGAAGAGACACCAAAGGTTGTCATGTCAGAAAGTTTCCCGTTGGACTTGCCACCATGTGCATAATCCTGGTGTCATCACGCACCACGACCGGATGCAAGCAGCTGTTTTGTCCAGTCTGACACCCAGCATGAATGCCATGCCGAGGAACAGTTTGATTCTTTACTATTTCTGAGATTTTGGGGATTGGGGAGGTCTCGAGGTTATATCCAAATGTCGCTTATTTGCCAAATTTAGTGGCATATGTTAGTGCAGCCCTTCTACCTCTTTCAGCAGCCGCAATTTTGTGCAGTCAATGGGAGCGCGTGTAGCATGTGTCACGATCGGTAAAGCCTCTCTTGCTTGCACGCTCGTCCACCAAGTTGGCCGTGATGTGTGGCTGAACACCGGCACTTGTTGGATGCAAGAGCTTAGCTTTGCCTCGGCGACAGGCTCAGATTGAAGGCTAGAGCCCGGACGCCCCAAATCACATGAAAGCGTAGAATCGAGATGACAGATGGGTGCTGGGGACCATCCAGACATTTAGAGAAGCTTGTATGCATGAACCCCATGCGAGCATGGTCACTTTTTCCAATGTCACTGTGCCAGTTCTATGAGTCTGGCACCGGCTTGTGTCTGGTTCGATCTATGAGCCGAGTGGGGTATGTTTCCGAATTTCAGCAATTCCCTAAGCTTTCAACTTTTGGGGGAGTGATGTGCTGTTTCTCTGTTGCGAGCCTCATTTGCACGGGACAACTTGCCGCAAAGCGCAATCGATGGGAACCTGGTTGTGAGAAGCTTTGCCAGGATCACTATGGGCTGTGAGATGCTGTGAGAAGAGCAACTGGTCTCAACTGCCTGAAACCTGGCGGCTGGGACCTGCCCCAAAGGCGGCTTTGAAAGCCTGGGCATCGGTTGAATTCGCGGGAAAGGCCAGCCGGGTTCCGGGTTCGGTTCTCGAGTTCTCGATACTTCCTCTGAAGCTTCCTTCCAACGTGCTTCCAACGTGCTTTTGGCCAGAGCTGCCTCAGAGCAGTCCTCGGGTTCTGTGGCATGGCTCGAGACGTGAGTTGAGGCGCTTGCTGCGGAACTTCGGTCTCGCCTTGCAGAGTGGCTGGCAGTGGCCAGGCAGGACATGGCAGGACTTGGCACCCCGTGTTCACACTGTGTTGCTCGGACTTGGAGAGATTCTATCAGGCGCACTCACGTTTGCGTCCAGGCAGACCATGGAGACCGCCCTGCGTGGATTCACGAAGCTGCAATCAATCACTGGTCACAAGGCTTCGAGGGATTTCGAGAGCCTTGACGCCCGCCAGAGCCCGCCAGATGCCACAAGCGGAGCAGAAACTCATGCAGGCACTCGCGTGCCAAGTTTGCGTCGCTCACGATCTGAACTTGCCACACTTGCCACTCACAAGCTCGCAAACATTCTGAGACACGAAGGGTTCAGGCTTGGATCTTGACACGCTACAGAGCATGCTGTCACTGCGTTGCAGTTGCTCCTGTCGACTGCTTGCTATGCATGGGAAGCGCAGGGCTTTGCTACTGCAAAAGATCCGGCTCCTGCAGAGGTTGGCAACTGAGCTGCGAGTGCTCCTTTGAGTCCACTGTGAATTGGTCATAGTCTGCTTGGTCATCTGCGAAGATTGGCAAAGCTATGCGCGAAGCAGCACCCAAATTCGAGGTGCAGTCACTGCCTACCTTCGCGCGAGTGCCGAGTGCAAATGCCAGGTCTGGGTGAGCGAGGCCCTGAACAAGTACAAAGCTAGCTTTCCCACAGAGAAAGCCAAGCCTCCGACGCCTCCCACAGAAGAGCCCAAGGAATCCTTGGCTGTTGAAAGGTTTGCCTTGTTTACTTGTTTCAATATTTTTTTGTTTTTCTCAGGAGATGCCCGAGCCACAAGAGAAAGAAAAGGAAGTGGTGTACAAAGGCGATGACACTGCTTCGACACATCGTGATGACCGTGGCTTGTCATGAGGTGATCCGAAGGAAATCTTGCACTTAAAGCAAGTGACCCAAAGGCAGCAGGCCTGGCAGAAATCCGAACAAGGGCCCTATGCTGAAAGTTGAAGGAAGAGATCTCCAAGCTCCTCCTCACCATTGACGAGCTGCGCAAGCGTTTGGAGAACATCCGGGTGTTTTAGCCTGTTTGGAGCGTGAAAGCTGCCATCAGCTTTCTTGAGTGCGCTGCAAGTCTTTCCGAGCGGAGGTTGTATCCTTAGATGCCGGGCCTGGTGTGGCAAGTGCGGTTGACAACGTCATGGACCGAGTCGGCCTGAAGGACTCATGGCAGTGACGTGTCTAGACATGAGAACATGTTGCGATGTACGTCCAAGGGATGCCTGTCAACTGTGCCTGTGTTTGGAGAAGCTACGTTCAGCTTCTTTTTGGTCGCCAGGACATCATGGACCCTGGGTTCACAGGTGGACTGCCTCGCAACCCCCCGGTGTTGAAGGGCGTCTTTGAGCGGCTCTACTCGGATGCGATTCAACGCATCCAGCGGCAGCTTGGCTGCCCCACGCTTTGCAAATTTGAAGCATGCTTGCTTTGCAAGCGGAACATTCCGCACATTTCGCATCATTTCGCATTCTGTTTGAATCGCGACGGCGTCCTCGTGTTCCCTCCAGCACAGTTGAGGCTGTACACTGCTCGCTCGTCCGAGGTATAGCCTCATCCGGCAGCAGATGCTTCTGGCAAACAAAGCTTACGCGTCTGTGGTTGATGCCATCACGGATCTTGAGGAGCGAGAGCAAGAATTCCGTTGGATTTGAAACGCTTTCCAAGTATCGTCAAATGCTGTCAGAGGAACCTAACATCCCGGACTTTGATGGATTGAACGACACCACTGACACAACCATCCGGGGGATGTGGTGCGCCAAGCAGGTTGCAATGGCAAAGCTTCAAACCATCTTTGACAGGTACCAGACCGAGTACCTTTTCCGAAGAGCATGTGAGTATGCTATGTCCCAGGGTGTTGAGGTCAGCGAGGTGGTTTTTATATACCCTCTGGAGCTGAAAGCGTGCAGGCATCGTTGGTCAAGGGGCAGCAGACACTTATTTCGGAGTTTGAGGTGGCAAGCTCAGTCTATGAAAGATTCTGAAAGAGTGCGTGGGAAAGCTGCGAGACCTGTCGATCGAATTGCCTCAGGGACTAGATCCAGAGAAGATCAGTCCTTGGCCTAGGATGCTGCGACGCATGGCTGTGGTTCAAATGGTACCCAAAATGCAAAATGGCACCTTGATATGTGGCAACAAAGGCTGAGTGACCGGCCAGCGATTGGCAGTTGAAGCACTCAAGTCATTGCGAGGCCAGCTTGAGGAGAAGGCCCAGAGCTGAGCCAAGCTTGGGTTTTCGCCTTCATGGCCAGGCTGGCCTCTCTCTGCCCCGCAAAGAGCGCCTTCCGCCCAGCTGGCCATCTTCTCCGAGACTCGAAATTCGGAGCTTCACTGGCACTCGGCCAGGCGACGGGAGCGCGTCCGTGAGGGCCTCGTGCATCGCGCAACGGATACGCCGTCCAAATCCGCAAGCCTGGAAGCTGCAGGCCAAGTGAAGGAAGAGCGAGGCATGAGACGACTCCCACGAGTTTTCGGAACTTGCGGATGCTTTCGGATGCTTTCGGATGCTTTCGGATGCTTTCGGATGCTTTCGGATGCTTTCGGCTTTCGCCAGGCTTGCCTGGAAAGGCCCGGAAGGATGACCAGCCGAGCCCGTTCTCGTGGGCGCCTCAGCCAGCAGTGCCCAGCTTCCCACGCTGAGCTCAAGGTGCTACATGGCGGCACTCCGAGAGGCATGGCGCAAGATGTCACAAAGGCTGCATGCTGTGGCTAGCTCTGGCCTAATCTGGAGGTTGGAAACGAGAGCAAGGAGAGCCCAGAGGAGAAGACTGAGAGGACCGGCTGCTGCTCACAAGTAGAGCTGACGTTGCGCCGTTGCGCTGTTGCGCCGTTGCGCCGCTGCACCTGCAGGAGAAAATCCAATGACCTCAATCCAAAGACATTAAAAGCTGCCTGCGACAGGCCCCAACAAGTGTTGTGCTCAGCGTAAGATTGGCATTTATTCAGCAGAGTTGCGCAGGAGTGGAGGTCCACTGCTTTCCACGAGCCACAGCCTCCCCGCCCTGCCGAAGGGACGTTCGATGCTCCAGGCACGTTCGCCAACTTACCACTCACAAGCCAGCTTTTGAATTTCGGCAGGCGGACGACGGGGTGAGCCCAAGCAAGGCACGAGCCTCGCCCCCAAGTGTTTGGTTCATGTTGCCTTGGCAGGTGCGAATGGCAGCTTCTCTATCGTAGGCGCGACAAAATCTGCAAGCCTAGCGAGTGGTTTCGGTGAGAGCCAGCAGAAATACTTTGGTTCACTGCATTGGCCATGTTTCTGCAACCTCTTGTCTTTCATGAGTCATGCTATCGGGAATCCATTCAGAGTGTGTCGCAGACATGTCTCACCAGCACCACACACTTTTGCACCTCTCCAAGAGAGGCGTGAGACTGTGTGCGTGCGAAAGCAGTATTGAAAATGTGCCATGATGCTTATTCATTGATGAGGCACCTTTTGCTTGAGAGGACCGCAACTGGGCTCATCACGGTTTTGGAATTCCCAGATCGGCTCAGACGGTCGTAGAGCGGCGGCAATGATGAGCCGGCGGGGAAGGACGGGCCTTGGACTTGGGGATCCATAGAAGTACGACCAACCTGACTCACAACTCATGAAACGTGAAGCATCACAGCCAGGAGCACCTTTCTGGCAGAGCTGCTGCTGCTTTCTGCAGCGTCTGTGTCTTGGGTCGCTGTTTGCTGCAGAATCTTGTTGGTGGAATGGGTTCGCATGAGTTCGCATTGCTCGCAGTTGCAGGGTCCTCCTATGGCATTTCCAAGATGCCTTTGTGGCGCCAAAGATCCCGAGCATTGAGCGGCCTGATCGTCAACTCCTCAGACGAATGGCAACATTTGGACAGGTTGAACTCCACCCAGGTCTTGTTCGAACTGCACGATTCGCCAGCGACACTGCTGAGGACGGTCTAATGTTGTTTGCATCGATGCATTGAGAGTATGCCTGGCAAGCTGCAAGCTTAGGATTCGGTGGAGATTTCCGGCTTCTCAGGCTTTGTGGTTGGCCTCGCTTTCCTGCCGCACACATTCTACGCCCTACTCACTGCATTCAACGTCGTGAGGTGGGAGTGGCAACATGAAACCATGAAAGCAATATAAATCAACGAAACAAGACATCGGCGATGTCGGATGATGTCGGCATTCGGCATCCGACAGGGGCGAAAGCTTCGGGCTTGGGCCATTCGGCCTGGAGCTCCTCTCCTGCTTGGTCACTGTGGGCCAGAGGCTCAGCAGCTCAGCGCAACGAAAACCCGTCTCCGCGCTTGCGCCGAGGGCTGGTGGTCTGGTCGCTGGGCAGCTTTTTGAGCCGCGGCCGCGGTTTGCCGGCGGGTCCTCTGGGCCTGCTTGGCCTCTCAGAAGGTGTCGGATACCTGGCAGCCCGGGTCCCAGACCCCATGACTGAGCCTCACATGCCTCGCATTCCTCACATGCCTCTGCCTCGCATTCCTCACATGCCTCAAATGCCTCGCAAGCAGTGTCACGAAAGAGAAAGAGGGCTCGGAGAGATTGAGAAGTGAGGCGCTCGGCCTGGTGCTGGCAACCCTGGCCTCCGGCTTGCGCTCAGGACAGGTCCACGAGTGATGCAGATTGCATTGCCACGTGATGATTACATACACAGCGGTTGTTGCAAGATGCCCAGTTGTCACCACACTGAGCGGCGCAAGCGCGCTTGCAATGGCACCACGACACCAGTTGCGCCTCGCGCAACAAGGCGACTTCCGGACCCCTTTGCGGATCGTTCGTTGCAGAATTGGAAGAGACTGCAGGCAGACGAAGCTTATCGCCTATCTTCAATCACCGGTCAATATGTATATGTTCTAGCCAATGAAAGTATCTGAGATTTTACTGGAGAAACGCATTGGATTTGCTTGCAGCTCGTGTTTGGCATCATTGGAGCGGGATATCTTCGAATTTGGTTGGACTGAGCGTGGACTGTGGACTGCACCGTTTCGCCAGTTAGTGGG